TTTAATTCCCAGCAACCACATGGAAGCTCACAATTGTCTCTAATTCAAGATCCAAGGGATCCAAGACCCTCTTCAGGCATTAGGCACACATGGCACACAGCTACATGGTCAGGTAAAACACCCATACACACAAAATAAAACCTTTTTAAACTAAAAAGTATTGCTGTGTTTTAAATCACTTTCCTTTTCTTTTCTTTTTTGTTTGTTTGTCTGTTTGAGACAGGTTCTCACTCTGAAGTTCAGGCTGGCTTTGAACTTGAGGCAACTCTCCTGTTTCTGTCTTCTAAGAGCTAGGATTGCAGATGTGAGCTACCATATCCAATTAATTGTTTTTGTTGTTGTTTTGTTTTTCGAGACAGGGTTTCTCTGTATTGTTTTGGAGGCTGTCCTGAAACTCAGTCTGCAGATCAGGCTGGCCTCAAACTCACAGAGATCCGCCTGCCTCTGCCTCCCAAGAGCTGGGATTAAAGGTGAGTACCACCACTGTCCTGTCCCAGTTAGCTGTATTTTTAATGAAGTATTTTACATTTCATTATTAGTGAGGGGCATGTGTGTGCCATGGTGTGTCACAGGACAACTCTGTGGAGCGAATTCTCTCTTTCCACTTTACGTAGGTTCTAGGGATTGGACTGAGGTCATTAGGTTTGCATAGCAAGCACTTCACCATCTCGATGACCTGTAGTGGAGGTTTTTTATTTGTTTGTTTGTGATTTGTTGTTGTTAGCAGTGTTTCATTATTTTCAATGAATTTTGTTTCTGTATATATGTATTTACATTTTTCTTAAATTTTATCTTAGTCTTTGTGGCAACTTGACAAATTGAGTTTTATTATATCCATTTTGAGATGAGGAACATAAGGCATGGGTAAACTGGTCACCCTAGTCTATAGTTACAACACTTAGAAGGCTGGAGCAGGATGGTGAAGTGTTTGAGGCCAGCCCTGACTACAAAGCAATATCCAGTTTGAGGCCAGCCTATGCTACTGAGGACCCGTTTCAAAAAACCAAACCAATCAGACAAAAATGCAAACAAACAAAAACCCCAAGCCTTGAGGCACAGAAAGCATTCTTGATCTTTCTTTCTTTCTTCTTCTTCTTCTTCTTCTTCTTCTTCTTCTTCTTCTTCTTCTTCTTCTTCTTCTTCTTCTTCTTCTTCTTCTTCTTCTTTTTTTCAAGACAGGGTTTCTCTGTGTAATAGCCTTGGCTGTCCGGGAACTCATGCTGTAGACCAGGCTGACCTGGAACTCAGAGATCCACCTGCCTCTGTCTTCTCCAGTGCTGGGATTAAAGGCTTCTCAAGTGCTAAGAATACAAAAGTGACCCACTGTGTCTGGTTTGTAGGCTTACTTAAAAACTGCTGTCATGGGACTGGAGAGATGACTCAGTAGTTAAGAGTGCTGACTGCTCTTCCCGAGGACCTGGGTTCAATTCCCAGTACCTACATGGCAGCTCAAAACTGTCGTAATTTCAGCTCCAAGGGACCCAACACCCATGGCAAAACACCAATGCTCATAAAAAATAAAATAATAAAACAACAAAAACAGCTGTCATAGTGGGTCAGTGGTGGCACACACCTTTAATCCCAGCACTCGGGAGGCAGAGACAGGCGGATCTCTGAGTTCAAGACCAGCCTGGTCTACAGATCAAGTTAATGGAGTTCCAGGAAAGGCTCTAAAGCTACACTGAGAAGTCCTATCTGGAAAAAAAAACAAAACAAAAAATAAAAACTGCTCTTATTTGTTTATTTTTGTGGGTTTTTGTGTATCCTTGCTTGCTTGTTTGTTTGTTTGTTTGATGATGACCAGATGTGTTGGCTCTTCCTTTTATCCCAGCACTTGGAAGACTGAGGCAGGAGGATTTCTGGGTATTTCAAACCAGCAAGGCTTACTTAGCAAGCTCCTGCCTCAAACACAGGCAATGAAAAATCTTTTTCTCTCTCTCTCATTGTGATCACAGGGTCCCTTAGGGGCAAAGTCCTTGCCCCACTCCGCCGTCTCCCTCTCTCCTCACAGCTTTCAACAGAGCACAATGTACACGACGCAAGCCTCTGAATAACTGATCCGTCCAGTGGAGAACTATTGTTCTGATAGGGTCCCCTTGTCTTGGTATAACTGATCCGTCCAATGGAGAACTATTGTTCTGATAGGGTCCCCTTGTCTTGGTATAACTGATCCGTCCAATGGAGAACTATTGTTCTGATAGGGTCTCCTTGTCTTGGTATAACTGATCCGTCCAGTGGAGAACTATTGTTCTGATAGGGTCCCCTTGTCTTGGTATAACTGATCCGTCCAGTGGAGAACTATTGTTCTGATAGGGTCCCCTTGTCTTGGTATAACTGATCCGTCCAATGGAGGCCTATTGTTCTGATAGGGTCCTCTTGTCTTGGTATAACTGATCCGTCCAATGGAGGCCTATTGTTCTGATAGGGTCCCCTTGTCTTGGTAGTGGTGTGATTTTTTTTTCTGCTCTGTATCCTTGTCCAAGAATGGATGACACAGAGACCCCTGCCTCTCCTTTCTGAAAGCATGGTGATTCCGTCGTCCACTAGAGGTCGCCTTATGACTGAATTTAGAGAGGCCCAAAGAATTACTCAGCTGACCACCCACCCTCAAGAGTCATTGACAACGCTGAATCTCTCCTAGACTCCAACACTGGAAGAGTCTAGAGACATCTCCAGCTTCAATTTCTTCCATTCATATGCTTGAATCTGGAACAGGCTACAGAACCAAAACCACCAACGGCATCAAGAATGTACTGGCAGCTTCTAGTTGCCCCTCTGTCAATCAAAATTCACTAGTCTCTTTTGAGGATCTGCCAACACATGCATTCTAGTACCTGCAGCGTGCTAGAATGAGACTAGCTGGTGAACAATCCAAACTCTCTCTGCACCCCACATCACCAGCTCTTAGGATCTAGCAGGGAGCGCAGGCGACCGTCTAATTACTACGTTGTGCGATAAGCTGCTGACATGATTTCTGTTCCAGAGCTGGTTCTCACTGTGGATTATTTTATGGGACATCAGGCTTTAGGGACACAAAATAAAATCCAGAGACAATGAAAAGTATCTGCCTACAGTTGGAGAATTGGTGCAGCCCACGTGCTGCTCTGGAAGTGAAGGGATTCCCTGGGCCTCCTGGGGGGTTGGAAGCATCTGGGTTGTAATGGACCCTGGGCTAAGAAAGCACCAGGCCGCCTCATTGCAGCTTGGGTGACTTGCTTGGGAAAGGAAGCACACACTTTCTGGATGTTTGGGGTGTAGCCAACTCTGCCTTTCTTCTCACTGGTTTCTATGCGTTTCGATGCACTATTATTCCTTATTGCAGTGCTGGGTTTGAGCCCAGGGCCACATACATGCAGGGCAAGTGTGCTACCGCTGAGCTACATTCCTAACCCGGCTTACCCCCTGTTCCTCTCCCCCAGATCATCTGTCACTGTATTTATCAAGTGTGTGTATCTCTGGGGCATGAGGTAAATAAAGTGGTTAGGACAGAGCTAGGGAGACAGGTGGAAGAGACCAACTGCCATTTAACACAGCAATTTTCTAAGCAGAGACTGGTTGCTACAGTCATTGCTAGGGACAGATCTCTGGGATCAGAAAGGCTCCTTCATTCCTTCGTTCCTCCCTTCTCCCCTTCCCTCCTTCCCTGTGGGGACTTCCAAGACGAACCTTCAACTCCGTGGTGGTTTCTCTGCAAGGGTGTTCTCAGAGGTGACAGAGAAGGGTTACATTTCTCCCTGCTTAGCTGGTCACTCTCCTGAGCTTGGACAAGGGACTCTGAGGACCATGTGCTCACCATTCCAGAGAAGCACTTCTGAGTCAGAGCCCCAGAAACAGCTGAGGCAGCTTCGGACTGGAGTCTTGGCTCTTGTTCCTCTCTTTCTGTCCAAAAGCAACTCCCTCCCTAGCTATTTGGATGTGACCAGAAACCCAAGCAGAGCCCTGAGGTAGGAACCTGGTTCAGCCAAAGTCTATAAAATGGATTCGGTCTCTGCATCCCCTCGTGGGGTGCAGCTGTATGGTGAGGGCGTGTCTATAGCCAGGGACATCTGTAGAAGGAGGCTCAAGAGGTAGTGGAGACTAACCTAGTGCCTGCAACTCCCAATGCAGCTATTGTTGGGCTGCCTCTGGGAAGGGGGTCGTAATTAAGATTTGGCTTGAGTTGAGACGGCATCATTCCCAGGGCAATCTGCCAGCACCTCCTCACTGCCTGGGCGTGGGGCCCGGGACATGCCAGGGCAATGCCAGAGAGCTGACTCAGGGGGGAGGCATGAGGGGAAGAGAAAACCCCTTCCTACCCATCAACCCAGAGAGGAGACAGCCATGCTGTGCTGTCCCTGTACTGACCGACCAGGCCACCAATAAGCTGTGCTGGGCCCAGCCTTAAGGATGAAGTCTCATGAAACCCTGTGTCTCTTGAGCACCAGCAGACAGCCTGCCCTCATCCTCGCTTTCCTGCAAAGATCTCTAGATTTGCAGTTCTGGGTTGCTCAGAACTCGATCCAGGCCCCATTCTCACCGCTTTCTAAGACCTTCACTCACTTTGGTGAGCCTAAGGTTCTTCATTTGTCAGATGGATGAATAATAGATCCTCAGCTGCAGCAGGGATCAAATGAGATAATGTCTATGAACGCACCCTGTACAGTTACAAAGCACATCTGCAACAAGGTGTCATTATTGACATGATTAATCATGGTGCAGGACTTACAGCCTCTGCACCCTGATTCTAAATCTCCTCCTGGATTTTTTTTTATCTGACAGATGCTGTGAAGTAGGTGCTGAAATCCCAATCCAGGCCTGGGCCCAAAAGCCTTGACCCGGGCAGCTTCTCCTTGGTGCTTCCACGCAGACTCGAGGGACACCACTCCACACCCCAACTCTACTAAACTGGTTCTTTCCCTTTTAATCAGACTCCTCCAGTCCAGTTTGCCTGCAGCAATGACAAAGGAACCTAAAATAGCACAAGCTTTGCAAACGCTGTTGGAGCCTGGGCTTGGACATCATGTGTGGCCCTGTCACCCACAGGCCTGTCTGGGCATCCCAGCCAGGTGCAGCCCTGTACCCTCCAGGGTCTGGTCTGCCTTTCCTTTTGCAGGCCTCTGATGACAGTGCCTTCTGTCAGCACTTGTGTGGTGAACTGGATGACTACCTCTACAGCTTAGAAAGCTGGCTTGGCCGGAGGCGCCAGAGAAGGGGCCCTGCTGCTCCTCCTGCCATCTCCTCCGTCTTGCTCTCCAGTCCTCCTTCTATGCTGAGAGGCCAGGTAAGCTTTGCTGAGAGCATGTAGAAGAGCAGCTGCTGTGGCCTTGGTGGGGGTGCTGGCATGGGTACCAGGAAAGTCCTGAAGACCCAGCAGCCAGCTGGCCCTGGCATGTCACAGTAGCCACGGAACCAGTTTGGCATGCAACTGCTTGGGTACCTCCCTGTGGGCCTCTGTGCCTGAGATTTCCCAAGGGACTTCATACGACTTACTCAGGTAGGAAGGGTGGCTGCTGAGGCTAGGCTGAGGGTCATAGGTAGGAACTGCATTCTAGCAGACAGCTTCATGCTCAGTCCCCTCAGTCTCCTCGTCAAGCAGCCATTTCCAGGTAGCATGAGTCTCAACCGCAGAAGATGCTCATACAGCTTCAACACTTTCCTCTGGTACACAAGGTACATGTGGTACACGTGGTACACATGGAACGCATGGTACACATGGAACACATGGCACACATGGAACACATGATACACATGTATACATGGTACATATAGTACACAAGGTACATGTGGTATACATGGAACACATGGTACAAATTGTACATGTAGTACACATGTTCCTTTTCCAGAGTGGGGCCAGTGTTTTTGTTTAGATCTGAATCCCAAACTGATGACCCATGCAAACTGCTTTGCTGATGTGCAATGTGTTTGTGTTTCTGAAACAGAGTCTCACAATGTGTGTCTCAGGCTGTCACAGAGCTCACCATGTAGTCCAGTTAGCTTGAGTTCCTTTCAATCCTTGAACCTTAGCCTCCCAAATGCTGGGGTAAAAGGCATGTGAAACCATGCATGGCCAACATGAACACTTTCTAACTAGTTTTTTGTTGTTGTTGTTCTGTTTTTTTGAGACAGGGTCTCTGTGTAGTTCTGGCTGTCCTGGAACTTGCTCTGTAGACCAGGCTGGCCTCGAGCTCACAGGGATCCATGTACCTCTACCTCCCAAGTGTGTGAGCCACTGCCCATCTTAACTAGGAAATTTTGATTTAAAAAAATTTCAGGGTTTGAGCTGGTGAGGTGACTCAGTAGGTAAAGACATTTTCCACCAAGCTTGGCAATCTGAGTTTGATCCCCAGGACCCACACTGTAGAAGGCTCCAGTGAGTTGTACACACACACACACACACACACACACACACACACACACACACACACACACACACACCACCAACAACAACAACAAAAAGCCATATCAGTCTTTGGCTGGTGGTTGATTCTATGTAAGAGAAGAAGGAAGACCATTGTGTGGTGCAGCCGTAAAGTGTAGGCTCCAAAGGTCAGAGGAAGCTGGCGTTAACATCTGGTACAACACGGAAGATCCAGGCATGGTGGTGCATGCTTGTCCTGTCAGCATTTAGGAAGCTGAAGCAGGAGGGTTGCAAGCTAGGGTGCAGCATGGGCAACTTAACAAGACCCACTGATTACAAAAAAAGAAAAAAGAGTTAAAAATGGTCAGGGATGTTAGCTCAAGGTTAGAGATTTTGCCTGGCACGTTTAAGACCCTGGGCTCAATTCCACTTGACAATTAACAGGAGCTGAGAATTGCCATGTTAGACAAAATAAGAGCCCTCCATGTTGTCATGCTGTCTCCCCAGTTCCCTCTGGATTCTGTTTCATCACTCTAGTGCTCGAAGCTGTGACCGATGGCTCAAATGTATGCGTAGGTTACTTGATAAGACCATGACTCCCGCTGTCACTTTCTATCCTGCATCTTACAGGATAACATGTCCTATTATTCCAAATGATGCTGGTTGCTTCTTCTCTAGTCCTGTATTCTGAATGATTTAATCTCGGAGTCTCAGACTGCTCTGCAACCACACTGTTAAGTCTACATGCGTCACTACTAAATGCAGGTCTTGACATCCACTACTTGAGAACCATACCCAATGTATAAAGAGAAATCAGTTTTCTTTCTTTTAGTTCTGCATGGACTCACGTAGCCCAGGTTTGCCTTAAGCTCTTTATCCTCCTGGCTCAGCTGCCCTAGTGTAGGGATTACTGGTATACACCACCATGTTCAGCTGTCCTAGTGTGTTAAGGGATTTAAAAATAATCTTGAAAACAAAAGGAATAATTTTCTATTCCTTTTTTTGTGTGTTACTGTTTTTTTGTTTGTTTGTTTTGGTTTTGATTTTCCAAGACAGGGTTTCTCTGTGTAGCCCTGACTGTCCTGGAACTCACTCTGTAGACCAAGCTGGCCTCAAACTGTGATATTTACCTGCCTCTGCCTCCACCACTGCCTGGCTGCTTTGTTTGTTGTTTGTTTGTTTGTTTGTTCGTTTTTAGTCAAGGTTCCATGTAGCCAGGCTGGCTTGAAAACTCTATGTGGCCAAGGATGACCTTGAACTCCTGATTCTCCCATTTCCATCTTCCTAGTGCAAGGATTACAGGCATGTTTCACCACACATGGCTTAATTTCACAGCTTTTGTCTCTTAAACTGACTTTAAAGTTTACCATTACTCCCACAAATACATACAAAAGCAGATGGACGCGCCAGGAGGATAAACAATATTCTCTCTTTCACTGCTGAGCTCTCAGACATAACAGAGTGCGTAAATTGGATGCACATATGGATGAGTGGATGATGGTTGATGGATGATAGAGGGATGGTCAAAGCTATAAGGCCCAGGTCTGTGCAGGATGCTGACAGTAAGTTTGGCTGAGTTACTGATAGCGTAGGGACAGCGAATGAAGGAGAGGGGTAGAGGAACTGTTCTTTGAAGGCGCTGGTCTTTTAAAAATCTCTTGACATGTGTTAAATTCTATGTTCTTTTCTTCTAACCAAGAATACTGGATTAGAGCTCTAAGGGAAGAAGACAGCTGCTTCTGAGTCACTGCGTGGAAGTGCTATCCCGCCTCAAGGGCCAGATGGTACTGCATCTCAGTTTGAATTTCTACCCCAGAGCAAAGTCTGATCTCACCCCTGCGTGACCTTCCTCCCCAGAGTCCTCTGTTCTCAGGAAGAACTCCAACGCTACTCCCGACCTTGAGCTTGACCAGCGTCGCTACCTCCATCCCAGTCTTGCTTCCCATCTTGACAGCCTTGGCCTGCTTAACCCAGCCACACCCTTGTTACTGATGCCGAGCATAAGAGTTAGCCAGGGCGACACCATTTTGTAAAGTGCCTCTGTTTTGGTTGGATTGAGACAGTTACAGAAACTACAGCAATTTGATTTCCAGAATTAAAGCAACTTGTTTCTCCAGATTGTGGTCTTCCCAACCAGATTGTGTTCCAGTAATGGCCAGCCAGGGGAGACATTATCTTTCACCTGGTGGTCTTTTTTTTTTTTTTTTTAACGAGACAGGGTTTCTCTGTATTGTTTTGGAGGCTGTCGGACCAGCCCAGCCTCGAACTCACAGATATCCGCCTGCCTCTGCCCCCCCCCAAGTGCTGGGATTAAAGGCGTGTGCCACCACCGCCCGGCTATCCTGGTGGTCTTTAACTCACTACTCCCTGCTAACCTATAGCAATGACCGACCAAGGGCCCAAACCAGAAAGATTCCAACCTCTTTTCCACTCCCCACTTCCTGTGAAAGCTGTAATAACAGACTGCCATTCCATTATGTGGGCCTAGCCTCTTCCCAAAGTAACTGCCATGTGTCTGTTTGTCTGTCTGTCTGTCTGTCTTTCTTATCAGTAACTCTTCCAATAGACATCTTAACACCAAAGACAATTCTGCCCCGGTGCTGCTTTGAACTGTGAACTTGGAACATTTCACTAATTTGTGCTTGTTTCCTTCCCTCCCGTGCTTACCTAGAGACAGGACGCATGTACTCACGCTAGCTTTGCAGCCAAGGGTGCCCTTGAACTCCTGCTCTTCCTGCCCCTACCTCCTAAGTGCTGGGATTGCAGGCACGCATCATCATGGTTATTTTTTTTTAGATTTATTTATTTGTGTATATGCATGCTCTGTCTTTCTGTAGGTCTGCAGAACAGAAGATGGCTTTAGATCCCATTACAGATGAACGTTTTGAGCCACTGTGTGGGTACTGGAAATTGAACTTGGGTCCTTTGGAATAAAGAACAGCTAGTGATCCTAACCACTGAGTCATGTCTCCAGCCCCAGCCTTGATTATTTTTATGTTGAGCTGGGGACTGAGCCAGAGGGATTCATGCATGCCAGGTGAGATCTCTGCTAATTAAAGTACACCCCTTGTCCAGCTATAGAGCATTTCCACATATAATTTCACTGACCATTTAAAACCCTGTATAATCAACCCCATTCTACAAGTGATAATAAAATTTGTTGAAAAAATTGTCACACAGTTAGTAAACCAGAGAATGCAGAACAGAGTCAAAATTTCTGGTGGTAAATGGAGTGGTACAGGAGTCAGTGCCACACCCAAGACACAGGTACATTAAAAACATTGCCTAGTTTCCTCCAGACTACAGGGATAGAGTACACATGAGACATAGAAGTAGCCATGCCTTTTGTCACCGCTCCTGGGGAGCAGGCAGACAGATCTTTGTGAGCTCCAGGTTCACACCTTGTTTACACAGTGAGTTCCAGGACTAAATGAAACCCTATCTCAAAAAAATTATGTTTAGACTTGGGTCCCATTCCCAAAACATTGTGTGTGGGCACACAACCCTTATTTATTTATTTATTTATTTATTTATTTATTTATTTATTTATTTATGTTTTCCGAGACATGGTTTCTCTGTGTAGCTTTGGCTGTCCTGGAACTCACTCTGTAGACCAGGCTGGCCTTGAACTCACAGAGTTCCTTCTGTCTCTGCCTCCCGAGTGCTGGAATTAAAGGTGTGTACCACCACTGCCCAGCAGCATTTTTTTAAATTAAAAGTGTAAAAGAATCTATTTAAGATAGGTTCTTCTGTAGCCCAGGAAGGCCTTAAATGAGCTATGCACTAAGAAATGACCTCGAACTCCTGATCTTCTACCTCCTAGGGCTCTGGGATTGCGGGCACAAACTAACATGCTAGGGATTAAACTTGGCCTCATACATTCCAGGCAAGCCCTCTACCAACTAAGCTACATCTCCCAACCCCAGTCCCAAACTCTTCTGATCCCAGTCATCTCAGACGCCGGATACCCATCTGTAATAATAACAATCCTGGGGCCAGAGAGACGGGCGGCTCAGCAGCAAAGAGCTTGTACTGCGCCGGGCGGTGGTGGCGCACACCTTTAGTCCCAGCACTCGGGAGGCAGAGGCAGGCGGATCTTTGTGAGTTCGAGGCTGGGCTAGACCGATAGCCTCCAAAACAATACAGAGAAACCCTGTCTCGTAAAAACCAAAAAAAAAAAAAAAAAAAAAAAAAAAAAAGAGCTTGTACTGCTCTCCCAGAGTTCAGTTCCCAGAAGCCACACCAGGAGGCTCACAGCCACCTGTAACTCCAGCTCCAGGAGCTCTCACACCCTCTTCTGGCCTCCATGAGTATCTGGACTCATGCACACATGCCCCCATCAGACCACACGCAACACACGTAACTTCAAAATAAAACAAATATAGAAAAATTAGTGACTAGATTGTGAAGATCTCAGTAGTACAGCACTTCCCTGACAAGGTTGAGCCCAGGAGTTCAGACTGAAGCACAGCAAAATGAAATAAATAACTTCAGTCTCAGACTTTTTCTTCATGCAGGTACAATGACAAGAAGCTCTTCCTTCGTGTGCAATCAAATTCCACACAGTGCTAGGGAGTTCTGCAGCTCTGGTTTATAGAGGAGAAAACAAGAGCCAGCAGATTTAAGGATTTGACCACGGTTGCACAGCCAGCAAGAGGTGACTCAGAATTTGAAACCAAGTCTTTCTGACTTAGCTGATGGATTAGTTGACAATTAGTTAGTTTAGAGACAGGATCTCATGAGTGCTGGGTTAGCCTGGAACTTGCTGTGTAGCTGAGACTGTTCTGGAATTTGTGATCCTCCTGTCTGTACCTTCAAAGTGCTGGCATTGCGGGCATAATCACACCCGGTTTACAAGCTGTTGGGATATTTGGTGTTGGGCATCCTTGCTAGGCAACACTCTACCGTCTAAGCTACATCCCCAGTTCTCTTTCTAACTTAAGTGCAGTTCTCTTCAACTTTTACAAGGACACAGAATGAAGTGACAGGAAGAGCAGCTAGGGCCCAGATCTTTTTCCAACTGTGTTCCCAGCCAAGCGTGGTGGCACACACTTCTAATTCCAGCATGCAGGCAACAGAGGCAGGGGGATTGCTGCAAGTCTGAGACTAGTTTGGTAGCCTGGTTCCATAGTGAGATCCTGACAGACAGACATACACACACACATACACACACACATTCACAGACAGACACAAAGACAGACAGACAGACACACACACAGATACACAGACAGACACAAAGACAGACACACACAAGTTAGCTAAAGAGACAGGCAGACAACACACACACACAATAAGGGACAAGGCTGAGGGCTGGAATGTAACTTGGTTGGCAGGGTTCATGCCCAGTAACCAGGAAACCCAGACTTTAACCACCAGCATCTCCTAAACTGGATATCATGACCTATACCTACAACCCAGCACTTGGGAAATGGAGGCAGGATGGTCAGAAATTAAAAGCCCCCTCAGCTACACATAGAGTTTGACGACAGTCTGGCCAGAGTCCCTGTTTTTACAAACAAACAGAAATAAAGTGGAGTGTGGAGAAAAGGCATGGGGGTTGGCAGTCTGACTTACATGGCTATTTCTTAAGCAGGCACGTGAATGCCATGTTTGCCCCTCAAAGGCCATGTGATGGGGTATTTCTAGGATCTTCAGCCACTCCACAGAGGTCGGCCCACACTTGCGCTCTGAGGCTTCCTGTCTTCCTTTAAAGCTGACAGACACCACAGTGAGTCAGTCCTACCAATGCTTGACTCATTTTTGACCTAAATCTGATGATCAAACACAGTGCCCCAGAATTTGGTACTATGGCTCAAAAGTTATGGTGGAAACATGGTTTGAGTGTGTGTGTGTGTGTGTGTGTGTGTGTGTGTGTGTGTGTGTGTGTCTGTCTGTCTGTCTGTCTGTCTGTCTGTCTGTCTGTGTGTGGGGAGTGGGAAGTGAGGTGTTGTTTCAGGATCTCACTATGGAACCAGGCTACCAAACTAGTCTCAGACTTGCAGCAATCCCCCTGCCTCTGTTGCCTGCATGCTGGAATTAGAAGTGTGTGCCACCACGCTTGGCTGGGAACACAGCTGGAAAAAGATCTGGGCCCAGCTGCTCTTCCTGTCACTTCATTCTGTGTCCTTGTAAAAGTTGAAGAGAACTGCACTTAAGTTAGAAAGAGAACTGGGGATGTAGCTTAGACGGTAGAGTGTTGCCTAGCAAGGATGCCCAACACCAAATATCCCAACAGCTTGTAAACCGGGTGTGATTATGCCCGCAATGCCAGCACTTTGAAGGTACAGACAGGAGGATCACAAATTCCAGAACAGTCTCAGCTACACAGCAAGTTCCAGGCTAACCCAGCACTCATGAGATCCTGTCTCTAAACTAACTAATTGTCAACTAATCCATCAGCTAATTTTTGAGGGTTTTAAAACTGCTTTCCACAGTGGTGCAGAAGATTCCAGTGTCTCCATATCCTCACAAACAGTGACTTCCCTTTCATATATATGTGTGTGCGCTATGCACATGTCCCTGTGAGTCTATGCAGGTATATGTACAAGTATGTTGGGGTCCACATGAGTGGGGTGCATGTGGAGGCCAGTGTTCTATTTCAGATGTCTTCCTTCACTGCTCTCCACCTTATATTTTGAGACAGGGTCTCTCAGTGAACCTGGAACTCATCCATTGGACGAGGCTAGCTGGTGAATCTCCTGGTCTTCCACTCCCCCTCAGTGCTGGGATTAAAGACATGCACTCCAACTGGGCAGTGGGGGTGCACGCCTTTAATTCCAGCACTCAGGGGGCAGAGACAGGCAGATCTCTGTGAGTTTGAGGCCAACCTGGTCTACAGAGTGAGTTCCAGGACAGCCTCCAAAACAATACAGAGAAACCCTGTCTCAAAACAACAACAGCAAAAACAAAAGATGTGCGTTCCATGCCCTACTTTTTATGTGCATGCTAAGTATCCAAATTCAGGCCATTATGATTGCAGGTACTATACTGACTAAGCCATCTTCCTCCTCCCCACCACTTTTTTTTTTTTGGTTTTTCGAGACAGGGTTTCTCTATGGCTTTGGAAGCTGTCCTGGAACTAGCTCTTGTAGACCAGGCTGGCCTCGAACTTACAGAGATCCGCCTGCCTCTGCCTCCTGAGTGCTGGGATTAAAGGCGTGCGCCACCAACGCCCGGCTCCCCACCACTTTCTTAAAAAACAATGGTCTTTATAGAGTTAGGGATAGACTTCAGTTGGTGGAACACATAGCTAGCATATAAATGCTCTGGGTTTCTCAAAACTCCATAAATAGGTTTGAATAAGAACGGCCCCCATAAAATAGATTCTAAGGTAAACTAGGTGCAGGGGGTGGATGGAAAGAGGAGGATCAGGTAGGGAGAGAGAGAGGAAACAGGATTGAGGGAGGGAAGAAAAGGAGAAACATCTAGAATTGAAGGAAATTTGAGGGGCGCAGTGGAAACATCTTAAGATATATAAAGGTGATCCTAATGTAGTCTCCAAATAATGGGGGCAACAGAGTCCCAACTGGCCATCTCTTGTCACCAAATGAAACTTCTGGTACTGAGTTACATCCAATTGAACTAAAGAGGTCCCAAGGAAATCCCCCAACAATAGGTTGCTCTCCACAAAGTGACAGCAAGGTCCCCTTGCTGAAGACTGCGCCCACACAACTCACTGAAAATGGAGTGGGGGAGCCAGTGCCTACCTAGAACCTTCACCCCTACGTTCTAGTGTCTTTGATGTGGGAAGTTACTCTGCAGGCTACCAAGAGAGAAATGTAAGCGCCACCAAGCCAGTCACAAACCCTTTATCTATAATGGTGCACTGCCTCCAAAATACGCTAGAGCTATGGTAACAACACAAAGCTTGTGGGGTGACTCAGCAATGTCTGATGTCTGTAAGATGGAACCCAAATCAATACTACTTGGGTGACCAGAGAGAGAGACTAGATAACCCAGAGACCTAGGGTAAAAACCAAATGCTACTGGTCTAAAAATGAAATGATTCCTAATGGTGCTCTGGTCACTCAGGGATCGGTGCCTTGCTCAGCCACCATCAGAGAAGCTTCCTCCTGCAGCTGATGGGACAATACAGAGACCATGCCAGACATCACACAGAGAGTCCTTGGAACACACAGCTCTAAATGGGAAGTCTCCGTCAAATCCCTCCCCTCAGAACTTACAACCCCCCAAAAAAAAGAGGAGGCAGGAAGAAAGAGGTAAGAGCCAGAGGGGATGGAGGGCACCAGGGGAACTCTGAATCAGCTGAGCGAGGATCGTATGAGCTCACAGAGATGGCAGCGGCAAACGCAGGGCACGCCCGGGTCTGCACCAGGCCCTCTGTGTTCTTATGGGACTCCTGGACGGGTGGATAAGTGGGGTCTCTGATTCTTGTGCCTGCTCTTGGGGTTCTTTGCCTTCTGTTGGTTTGCCTTGTGCAACTTTGATGTGACGATTTCTGTTTTATCTTACTATATTTTATTTTATTATGTTTTGTGGTTATCTCTTAGAAACCTATTCTTTTCCTTCTTTCTTTCTTTTGGTTTTGTTTTTCAAGACCAGGCTGGCCTCAAACTCAGAGAGATCTGTGTGGGCCTCTACCTCTTGAGTGCCAGAATTAAAGGCATGCACCACCACCCAGCAAGCCTGTTCTTTTCTAATGAGAGACAGAAAGGAGGTAGATCTGGATGAGAGAGAAAGTGGGGAGGAACTGGGAGGAATAGAGGGAGGGGAAACCATAATCAGGATACATTACATGAAAAAAGAATCTATTTTCAATAAAAGAGAAAAAAATGCCAGGAGGCGAAACCAGAAAAGATCATGACCCCCATAGGCTCATGTATTTGAGTCCTTAGTTATAGGTAGTGACATTTGAAACAACTAGGACTAGAAGGTGTGGCCTTGTTGGAGGAAGTGTGTCATGTGGGGTGGACTTTGAGGTTTCTCTGCCTTTGGATCAGGATGTAGACCTCAGCTACTTCTCCAGCGCCATGTCTGCCTGCTTTGCCCAAAGCCGAGCTCCTCGCTGTGATGATGGCTAAGCCTCTGAAACTATGAGCAAACCCAAGAGAAGCTGTGGTCATAGTGTCTCTTCACAGCAATAACAGGGACTGATACACAGGACAAGGTGCATTGCCATCACTGTGGGGGGGGCTGAAGCAGGAAGGCCAGAAGTTCAAGGCCTTCCTCAACTACGTAGCGTGTTTGCACCAGTTACATCTCAAGAACACTGCCCTTCTAATATGTGTATGAGCTCTTTGGAACACAGTGCACTGGAAGTCCGAGGGTTTAGAGACTCTTGGGGTCTGCTTCTCCTTCCAGGAACCCCACTGGACTCTTCCAGTTCTGAGAACTCGCTGTGGTATTGAAATCGCCATGACACAGAAGCAGCCAATATGCTTTTCTACTGCATCTTTTGGCCTATTTTCCAGGCTCTGAAGAGCAGCCTACTTCTCTGTATTAGTCAGTGTTCTCTAGAGTACCAGATTTTATAAAATGAATGTGTATATATAATATATAACATATATTATATTACATATATACAATATACATGTGTGTGGTTTATTAAAATGATTTATTGCTGTGACTCAGCTAATCCAACAATGGCTGGCTATGAACAGAAAGCCCAGAAATCCAGAGGGTGCTCAGTCCATGAGGCTGGATGTCTCATCTGGTCTTCAGTAGATGATGGAACCCTGAAGAAGTAAACTCTGGTTCCCGTGAAGGGATGGACTTGCTAGAAGGCATGAGCAGGCAGAGAGCAGAAGCTTCCTTCTTCCGTGTCCTTCCCAGGCTTCCAGCAGGAGTGGCCCAGATTAAAGCTATGCCTTCCCCTCAAGATCCAGACTAGAAACGGATCTTTCTACTTCAGATTAAGCAAACTTCCCTCACTGGTGTGTCCTCCATTTTTGGATTTTAGTTAACTCCAGATTTAGTTACATTGACAACCAAGAGTAGCCACCACACTCTTCCCTTTGGTTATATATAGTAAACTATGGGAAGGATATAGTCAATTTATTTAGGTCAACAATTCTCTGAGCTTCTTTCTTTTCTTTTCTTTTTTCTTATGTTTTTTCCAGACTAGAAGCAATGGTGCTAATCCCATGGGGACCATCTCTGGCTCTGACCTACCACTGACCGCAGAACTAGAACGGCATCCACAGCCTTGGGCAAAATTATTTCTGATCCCATCAGAACCCTGGGGAACATGTTTTATTCCTCAGCACTGCCCCTGAGCTGTTTGAATCAGGCTTCTCTCTAGCCCCTTCTTTGCCAAGACTCATAGCTGGTGACTTAGGTCTTCAGGGTGGATGGACGCTGGGCGTGGTGATTCACCTCCTGCATGATCCTCATGACTCCTCAAGGGGAACTTGGAGACCTGGAATTTTGGTCAGAATTCTCCATTCATATTCCCAGAACCTAGGCTCTCTGGAGCAATCTTTGTTTATATTGTTTAGTGCTTACATATTCTCTGTGGGTTTCTGATGTCAAGGATAGGGTATGTTAAACTGGACTCCCATGGATATGTCAAACTTATGACCCCAGGGGCTTCATACATCTTGAGCTTTGCTCCAACCCAGGCTTTAGCCCTTTGCTTACTGGTGAATGGTGTGGTACATGAGGAGAGAACTTGCCCAGCCCTACCTGAGGCTCACCTCCACCACCTCAAAAAAAAGATAAAGGGCAAGGCATAAGTTACTCTTTCTCCAGTCCACCTCGGGTTTCTGCGAAAGCAGGTGGAAAGAATATCTTTCTGCATTGCACAAAAAGGAAAATGAAGGGAAGTGACTCATCTAAGTTCACAAACAGCATCATCCACCAAGCTGGGAATGGCGCTCCCTTCCTCTAGAACCACAGCTTTCACCAAGACAGTCATCCCTCCTGTAGAGAAAGCTTCGGCAACACTGGTCCTGACAGCTGATGCCGAGCTGTAGCGATGCTTTCTATCCGTAGGCATCCAGATCCACAGGAAGTTGACGTCGTGATACAGCCTCTCAAAGGAGATACTTAGGACTTAAACAAAGCATGGCATTGTAAGTCCGGAAGAAGCAAGAGTCCCGAGGTATAGGAAAGATGACTGCAAGCAAGTCCCCTCCCACCCTCCACTCTTACTTCCCCACAGACGCCCTGTTGTCTCAGTTCTCCCTTCCATCGCTACCCCGACCCTGCAGTTGTCACTGCTCCCTGTTCTTTCTGTCCCAGATCAGTCAAGCCATTCTTTCTCTTCCCAGTGTCAGCCGAGACAAGGGAGGATTTTCAGTATTGTTAGTAAACACATACATCCTTGTTCAGAAACACACAGGCCTTCCTAGAACTCCAACTTTTACCCGGCTTTCCTTATAAGGTTTCATTTCGTGGAGTAGAAGATAAACTTAGGGTCTCACACACGCTAGGCAAGTACTCCACCAGAATGGCATGCGAAGCCCCTGTCTGCGTTTTTAAGCCTGTTTTTAATCTGACCTCACCCTAACTACTTATATTTAGTTCTTGTTACTCCTCGGTATAAACCTTCCTTAATCAGGCCAGACTTCTCACTGTTTGTACACACACACACACACATACACACCAGAGTTAAACACATCCAAGTTTTATTCTCTATTTCATGTAAACTGGTTGACTATTCCTGGCACAATTCTTCCAGAAGCCCCTGGCCACTACCAATTCCAACCTGATGTAGCTTTTAAGATGTACAAGCCAGCCAGTGGTGGCACCCGACTTTAATCCCAGCCCTCGAGAGGCAGAAGCAGGTGGATTTCTGAGTTCAAAGCCAACCTGATCTACAGAGTGAGTTCCAGGACAGCCAGAGCTACACTTAGAAACCAGTCTTGAAAAACCAAAGAAAAAGAAAAACATTTTTTGTTCATGTCCAAGAAATTTCTAACTTTAGTGTCTCATTTCTTCTACTTTTACTATATCTATAGCTGATAGTGATTAATAGTTTATAAAAATTATGGCTACACACACACACACACACACACACAGAGAGAGAGAGAGAGAGAGAGAGAGAGAGAGAGAGAGAGAGAGAGAGAGAGAGAAAGAGAGAGAGAGAACTAGATGTGGTGGTTCATATTTGTAATTTCAACTCTCTAGAGGTAGGGACAGGAGGACCTCGAATCCAAGGTCAGTGTGAACCAACCCTTATTTCAAAACAAACAAACACACACACACACACACACACACACACATAGCATAACATTTCCCATCTTACTCATTTTTTGTCATCCATTCATTCTTAGGCAGTCTTGCTATGTGGCCAACCTGGTGTCAAACTCACATCCAGGTTGGCCTCAACTTTACAATCTTGCCTATTTTTTTCTTTTTTTTTGAAATAGGTATTAAAGGCATGTGCCACCACTGCCCAGCTTCATGCTAGATTTTTTTGGGGGGTTTCGAGACAGGGTCTCTCTGTGTAGCTTTGGAGTCTGTCCTGGAACATGCTCTGTAGACCAGGTTGGTCTCAAACTCACAGAGATCCACCTGCCTCTGCCTCCCGAGTGCTGGGATTGAAGGCATGTGCCGCCAAACCCGGTTCCACACTAGATTTTTAACTACTCATAAATATACAGTTTAGTGGTAGTGTTAAGTATATTTGCTTTTTTTCGGGCAACAGGTGTTATCTAAAACTTTTTCATTGTGCAAATCTGAAGCTCTATACATAGTAACTCCCCATTTCCCACTCCCTCTGGAAACCATGTCTACTTTCAGCCTCTGAACTTGACTATTGTAGGTATCATTTATAACTGGAATCTATGGTATTTGCCTTTTTTGTGACTGGCTTATTTCATTTATTATAAAATCTTCAGCATTTGTGCACTTTGCAGCACCTGTGACAGGATGAGGATTTCTTTCTGCTTTGAGATGGAGTTAAAGTTCTACCAGTCCTGACTCAGTGTATGTGTGGACCGAGCTTCTGTCCCACCTGGCCCCACAGCCATTTAGCCCCAAATAAGCACACAGAAACCTATATTAATTATAAGTGTTTGGCTGATGGCTCAGGCTTCTTATTGGCTAGCTCTCTCTTAATTATTAACCCATTTCTATTAATTTAAGTATTTCCACCTGGTCTTGGCTTACCAGAGAATGCCCAGTGTCCTATCTTCCCGGTAGCTACATGGCATCTCTTGTGGCTCCTCTCTCTGCCTTTCTCTTCCAAGCATTATCCTTGTCTGGTAGCCTCACCTATTATTCCTGCCTGGCTACTACCCAGCCAG